TTCATCTCTAATGTGTTTATTATAAGTTAATATAAATTACCTTCAGGTCATCTCTAATTGCCTAATGTTGCTGTAATTTGTGTAGGTTTTTAAGTAGGAAATACGTTTCCTACATATTTAATGTCCATTTTCCTTTCACTTACTATTCTAATGCTGTACTAATTTTTCCAGCGGTTTAATACAAAATACTGGTGATTTTTTTGGAGTTAATACATGTCTTTGCCTTAAATCCCATTCTAGCATGTTTCTATCAATGAGGTAAAAAATCTGACTAACTGAAGTATAAACATTTTTAGTTATGAAAAAGATATGACTTTATTCAGTCAGCTTTAATAGCACTTGAAGGGATTCACATTGGGACAAATTTGTAAAAGAACTTGGAGTGTACAGCCTTAAAGTTCCAAACTTTTTGTTCCTGTTAACCTAAGCTATGAATGTGTTTACCAGTAATCTCTGCACTGTGAAACTAAGGATTGGCAATACGTAGAGAACTCAGGAAGCTCTTGACTTGCAGTAGATTGTGACAGCTTTCAGCCCTAATACAAGTAAATGCCTGCACCTTGTCTTTGAGCTGAATTTGATCCTTATTTAATTTGCTATCTTAGGATATGGACTTACACATTTAAGACAATGTCTTTTATATTACTGTACACAGTGATGAACAGAAGCAATTTCTGTATTTAACGGACAGTTGTTCTGCAGTAATGCAGGTGACCCTGCAGAAGGTGTATTTGAGGCTCTCCATTGCAGCTAGATGGTAGAATATGTATGAGAAGCTGTTGAATGTTGGCTCTCAGAGCACTTACTGTCCTTGTAACGGCAAACTTGATAGTGCACTGTCGCTTCAATCTGTAATCTGACTGCTAACAGGCATGCACGTTGTGGACTTCAAAAGAAGTCTGAGGCCTACAGGGCAGGCCAAGTTATTCACTAAACCACGCAGACTCTGCTTTCTGTACAACTTTTTTGTTCCAATAGAAAAGCAAACGGCAGCAACAGCAAGAGTTTTCTCTTAACTTATCTGTTCAGTCTGTACCAGGTGTAATTATTTGGAAGTAAAGCTTGCAAAACAAACCCTTCTTGTCACTCTTAATACACTTTTCTGAATGTATTGTATTCTCGCTTGAACCTGTCCAGGACAACTTTACTCTATAGATCTGCTGCTCCTGCTTAAAAGCGACCTCTTTTTTTCACCTTGCATACATTCTAAGTCCAATTCATTCTTACAATCCTGCATATACAGCAACAGAAATGTTTGAAGCTTCAGTCACCTAACAGCTAAATACAGGTTGAGCTGCTACTTCTGTTAAGTTTAATTTCTAGTCAATGAGTGAAAAGATCTGTGATGAAAATCTTCGCTAGATTCCTCTTAAGCTGAGAGAGCAAAAAGCTTTAAAAACTAAGATTGCTTGAGTTGGGGGTTACTAAGCTAGTGTTATGAAACTGTTGTAAAACTACTACCTTACTGCTTAAAGCATCCTTAATGTTCATTTTAGCAGAGGTTGTTTAAAACAAAACAAGAGGTAAAGTTACTGTGACTAGAGTGCTACAGATCTGATTCAAATAAGATTGGTAAAAGGGAACAATTAAGGATGAAAACCACTGTGGTCTTTCTTGTGCCAAAGAGTCCATCTGTTTTTTTCCATCTGTCCCCTTCCCATCTAACAACGTGGTTACTGAGCCTTCGCCTGAGAAGTAGGTTTAATAAAATTTAAAAAACTTTAATACAATAGAAGTGTATTACTTGTGCCGTGGGAGCTGCTGTACCACAACTGTTCACTAATGACAAACGCAGCTAGTGAAGATAAAGGGGGGTTTACATGCTACGGTAAACAAGGTAGTAGAGGAATTATGCTGAGGTCAGGCTCTGGTCTCAGAGGGAGACTATCAAGTACTTCAAAGAGGCAAAAGTCCTATGATAAGTAAATGATAGGTACAAAAAATGTCACGATGCTTAATAAGAAACAGGTATTTATGTACTTTGTGAGAACTTAGTATCGTTCAATATGAGGGCAAGGTAGGGACTCACTCATGTTTCAATTCACTGTTTCATTTCACGTGCTAATGTACCTCAAGTATTAGGGTGTCCTGTTAGCAATATTTAGGATTGTGAAGAGTGACAGATCATACTATGTAATGTGAGTGCGAAATCCCAGATGTCCTTTAAAGTGAGGAACAAAAAATACTGTCGTGGCAAATAGGTGGGTTTGATGAAAGCTCTGCATAATAGATCACACAGCAGAATGGGAGGGGGCAGAAGAAACTAGCTAGGACAGCTAACAGCTCATGTTGCAGTGAAGTATATGGCTGCTTAGCATGAGAGTGTTGCTTTATCTTGCTCTGTACCTCAGACGTGTTACTTTAGTTGTCATATGACAGGTTAACAGAAACTGGCAGAAAGTTGAGTCTAAGTTGCATTTCCAGCCTAGATTTATTCAGGCTGGTTCATGTTCTTTGCTTATTCTGATGTTCTCATCTCCTTATGCTTGATTTTTTACCACTTAGAGTAATTCCAGTCCCTTTCACTCAAACTTTTTTGTTGCCTTTATTGCATAATGCAGGTTATCTGCTGCTTTCTTGTACTCCAATGGATTTCATTTGAATTCTTACACCTAAGCCTCTGAGATGGAGCAGGAACATAACACTTACTTGCAAAGGAGGTCTCTTCTGCATTGTCCATTGAGGAACTGTTTGTTATCTGATGTGTGCTAGATCTGTATCTTTCCGTCCTAGAGCGGGTTTGTGACTGTAGCTGGTCACAAGAAAACTCTCCCCTATCACTCCAGATAGCAGTCTGTCAGCTCACTGTAAAAAGTCACAAGCCAAAGCAGAAGCAAGTGCTCCTCTGTACACAGGGAGATCGCAGCCACCGAGCCAAGGTCCCTCAGAATTGTGTTGTGAGACAACATTCCTCACCACAAACTCTGTAACGATTAACGTAAGGACACACACATCATTCTCCCTTGCCTGTGGCCAGTAACAGTCTATTTTCATACAGCCTAGACTGTTTTTCCCATTTGCAATTCCTACATTCAGGAGAAAAGAGTAGAGGTGTATGGGGGGTGGGATAAGAACAGGCACTACTTGGCTACTGACCTCTAGAGATCAGGCAAGAGATAAAATGCTTTCATTTTACATAACTTCCTACTGCGTGCTAGCAGAATACAATTACAAAAACACCCAATTTCTAAAAATGGTGGAAACTCTTAGCACTAATCTTTCATCTTTGCCAAAACTTTTCTTACTGCCATGTATATGATTATTTAACGTATTTCCTCAGTGAGTATTTATGTATTTCCTCAGTGTCAGTATTTTTCCAACCGCTGTGCTACTGGGGAAGACGCAGAAAACAGCATAACTGCTCTAACTTAATGGCTCCTTATCATATGAATGTTTTACCTCAAGTGTTTCTGTTGCTTTCACAGATATAGCAAAAAAAAAATTAAAAAAATCAGTTAACATACATAGGAATACATGACATTATCACAGCAGCCTTCCAGTACCTGAAGGGGACATGCAGGAAAGTTGGGGACTTTTTACAAGGGCGTGTAGTGATAGGACAAGGGGTAATGGCTTTAAACTGGAAGTGGCTAGAGTTAGATTAGATACTGTGGGGAAATTCTTCACTATGAGGTAGGGTGGTGAGACACTGGCACAGGTTGCCCGGGAAAGCTGTGGTTGCCCCCTTCCTGGAAGTGTTCAAGGCCACTTCCTTTGTGGCTTTGGGCAACCTGGTCTGGTGGGAGGTGTCCCTGTCCATGGCAGGGGGGTTGAACCAGATGAGCTTTAAGGTCCCTTCCAACCCAAACCTTTCTGTGATTGTATGATCAAAGTGTTGTACAATGCAGTTTTTATGAAATAATACTGCAAAGACAAGGATTCCCAAGGTAGCCTTACTATGATCATCTAGTTTTCTCCTAAATAATTTCAAGTATACTCAACAGACATGCATAGTGCATTATTCCACATTTTATTTAAGGTAAATATTGCAACCTTTATATTGTGTTCTTTTTCTCATGGAATATTTTCACAGTTTAGCCGTGTACATGACAAAGAAGTAATGACTGACTATACATTTAAAGCACATACACACGTGGTCTCTTTAATTATACAGACAATGCAAAATGTACTTCCTAGAATAGCATGCCACTTCCTTTGGAAACTACTATTCAGACATCTTAAAAAAAAAAGTCAAAGAAGATCGCTTATACAGATTTGCTGCAAAAGGACACAAGAGATTGTGAAGAAACTTAAGAGATTGTGAAACCAACCGAACTATTAGGTACAAATATGCCAAATGACCCATCTAAAAATGACTGGTTTGGAATGATGGTAAGTTTTGCGAAAGGGTCCCTAACTACATTTTACAATGCAAAAGCAGCCAGACAGACCAAATATTGCCTTTCTGACACCTCAACAAATCGAGTTTCATGGTTCAAAGATCCTACTCTAAATATATTTGCAAAAGAAAATTTCAGCACTTGCTGAAATGAGATAATGGAAAGAGGTGGGCTTAAACATGTAAATTTAGTTTGTTTTTTTTTCTCCATGTATGAATCAGAATTAAAGTCAGAGCAGATAGAGCTGTTCTGGTCTGCTTCATTCATTCATTTCATTAATGCAACACTGCAGCTAAATGTGCATTCTACAAAACATCTGGTAAGTCTGAAACTTTAAGCTTTAAAATTTTAATTTTTTTTCTTAAAACTTCTTGAAATATTGAAGACAGCTTCACTGATATATCCTCTTTTATTTTTATTGAGCACTTTACAATACATATATTACACATTACAAAATAAATATAGACCTGATTTAATACCACAAAGAGTAAGGTTAATCTGGTTAGTCTGCAGAGTAAGTTCTCTAGCGAAGAACTGTAAGTAGCAAAGTTTAACACAAAATTAACCACTCAGGGGCAGCAGTCAAGAATTCCCTTTTGCTCATGTTCAGTCACACGACTGCAGATGTCTTTTGTGTTTAGATCTGATTTCCTCCCACCCTGTATAAGAGGCTTACATTTTGCATATGCACTGACACCCACATGTTTCTGTTTGTACCTATTCAGCCCCACGATATTTCAAACCTTACTTTTCATAGCACAGAAAAGGAAACCTAAGATACACGTTTTAACCAGAGAACCTTGGCTGTTGTTATCTGTATCGGCAAAAAAAGTCGATTTCTTCAGCATCCAATCTGTCTTCAGAAGATGAGTATTGAACATGCTGAGAACTAACCATACGAACTACAGTTCAAATAAGCAAGAAAGTATGGAAAAATCACTCAGGAAATTAATGTACTCAGCTTAGAAGATGTTTCTTCCCAAGGAACTGTACTTTCCTTTCAAAGGCACTGGATCGAATAGGAGAATTGAGTTCGTAAAACGGATTCATTGCAAACTGAGGAAAGAAGAAAAACTCATCAATAAGCACAACGTCCAGCACTGGAAAAATGTTACTTCAAATGGCAGCAACTGCCAGCTTTCGGCCTATTTAGTGACACTTCAGAGCACAGAGCTCCTGAACTTGCTTTCCAGGCCCTTGCATTCTCCCCATGTACGTGCACAGCCATCCCTTAGTAGCGACCCTGATGGAAATTTCTGGTTTGGAAATTCATATTATTTGAGTCCCTCTAGGAGGCCCAGATGGTGATGCTTCTAATCAGTGCTTGCAACAGCCCCATCAGCTGGAAGCACCACTAGGCTGCAAGAACACAGGCTACCTGTTCTGAGAGCAAAATACTTTGAGCAGGCTTCTGCAGAACAGTCCTTCGCGTTCATCATCACCATTACTGACACAATACTGCCCAAAATTGCTAGACTAGAATGAAAATAAATTCTGAAAGACCACAGCTGTTAATAATTCCTAAAAATCTATTCTGCTACTGGAAAATACAGCCTTTATGTCACACGTTACCAACTCTGGTTCATGTGGACAGTATAGGTTTTTGTCCACCACTTACATGCTCATACAGGCATGCTGCAGCTTGTACAGCACAACACACTTAAAGCACCGCAGTAAGACCATAAGAAGTGGGCTCTTACCTTTATATACAAATCATATACATCATTAAAGAAGTTCTTAATTCCATCTTCTTGTCTTACATCATGAAGCATTATAAATCTCATATGTAAAGCAATTAAGAAAAATTTTCCATTTACAACAAAGAGACATTTAACATATCCTGAGATAAGCATTTACGCCCAATTCTGCATATACTTAAAATGTTTAGCTGTACAGGAAACAGCAGTGACTACAGGAGGAAGCATTAAAAGAAGTAACTGGAGCAGTGAAATTTAGAAAGTGTTACGTTTATATTTTAAATTTGCCCTATTTGAAAATAATCACCTCTCTATTCAAGGTTATTCTTTTCAAATCTAGACAATTCTGAATGTGGGTGATGTTCTTGGCACCTTTGCCATGTACCCCTGAATTTAAAATGACATTCAATGTTACTTCCTAGGTATAAGAAGTGTTTCACAACAAACACTGTATATAAGATCAAGCCTTGACACCACATATTCAAGATGGGTGTGATTGACACCAAGAATGGTTCTCACTGCTTCTCCTCTAGCACTACCAAAGGGATGGGAACAAAATCATCTAAGCTTCCTCAGACCTCCTCATATTATTCCCCTCCCAATTCTTCTTTCCTCTGCTCCATGTAAACACCACATTTTATTAGGCTCCTCCAAAAGGAAAAAAAATAAATCTTTTCAATTGGTCCCAATTCTCAACTACTGCTGTGCCTCCCAACTTACTTCATCCTGAGGTAGCAATAAATAGTGGTCAAGAGCCAGAAAAACCTGTTCCAGACTCATTTCATCTAACTTAAACCTTTCAGGCAAAAGGTCTTCCTACAGAAGGGAAGGATATGTCCAGCTGTGACAAAAGCAGAAACAAACCATTCGTTAAACTTGTCCACAGTCTTCAGATACATGTTGTTAGAAAGCCACATGTTCTCATCTACTAGGTCAAGAGCAGCATGGGCAATGAACTGGTTGAGATGGCGATGATCATCCTAATGTATTTCCAGAGACAGAGGATTAGTAATTCAGTGAGAGAAATATAAACAAGAGAGTGCTGAAGTTGCTAAGCCGTGTTCAAGTTACGTAAAGTTATATAAACCCTTGTTTTTTGCCACACATGTGCCAATCCTGTAATTAAATGAAACTAGTACATATTGTCATATTTGGTTTTGAGAAAAAAGGTCATAATAAAAAGGTCATAATAAAAACAGTCTTGAGAGCAGCAAAACTAATAAAAGCTAGTAAAGCTCAGAAATTAATTCAAGTGCGAATTCTTTCATTTACCAATGGGTAATCTCCCACTGCAAACTTATTTCACAACAGAGGCCTTGATAGAAGTCTTTCTCTGCTTTCCAGTCACCTGTTTTAGTGAACCATACGTAAATTTAGCATTCTTTGGACCATAATGTCTCTCTCAAATATGGCAGGAATTGAACAGGTTACAATGTGTAAAAGCTGGGGGACAGATGGGGAAAACAGAGAGATACAGAGGACAGATATGCTGGTAACATTCTCACCTAAAGATTCTGTTTTTTTCAGGTTATTTGCCTAGAAACATACAATTTTTAAATTGTTTTGGGGTTTTTCTTTTTTTGTAAGAGCCTAGTGCAGAAATCATCCTGCAACTGGTATTAAATATAAGCTTGCAGATGTAAATTACACCTCCTCCTATAATAAACACAGATGGCCTTCAAAGAGTAATCGTAGCATTTGACTATAACACTACAAGAGTTGTGAGGGGAAAGAGCCATTTACTTTGTATACAAACCAGAATATCAGAGGACATCTGCCAAGAAGTTGCAGTGGACTAAACCATACTATAAGCCTCTATTAGGCTGGAAACAGAAGTAGACTTGCACTGTTTCTCATAATACAGAGATGCTATTAATGCCACTCTCACACCTCGCTGTGTACTGTTTTTCACCCAAACCAAGTTTGGCTCAGGGCATTAACAGCTTTCCCAGCTAATTAACAGTTCCATTAAGCCATACTAAGAAAAGATTAAGTAGTGAAGTTTAAGGGGCAAAAGCTCATGCTGATTTACCATGTACATTATGCAAACCGCTTATGTGTGTGCTTAGCTGTGCATCTGCACTCAATTCACTCTTAAATGGCACGTCTCAGAAACAGAAGCGGTAGCTGCCAAAACATGTCAATGTCTACTATTCTTCTTCAGTACACATCAAGTTTAGATTCTCTCTTAGAAGAAAATTTAGTACTTCAACCTCAGTCAGACAAAAAGCTTACCTGAGCCAAATTATTTCCATTAGCAAAATGAAGAAAATTAATCTTTCCACAATCAGACACATCCTCACACTCGCTAAGTCTAGTCCGACTCGCCTTATTTACAATCTTTTATAGGACACTAGTTCAAAATACAGACGATGCCACAACGTTCAAATCAGTGACAACATATTCTTCCATTTTTGAAACACTCACAGATACAAGCACTTCTATTCTGAAGTCTGTTTTTACTTTGATGTAATATCACAAGGGATAGATTTGTTCTTTTCCCACTGGAAACACCACTTGCTCAGCAGTCTTACATTTCACACATTTTCAAACTCATATTTATCAATACAAGTTTTAAACCTTTCTTACTTAAAAGCAAGTATGACTACTGAAGACAAATAAAAATTAGTATTTTTTAATCGCATAAAAAGGACTGAATAGAGCTTTCGAATTTATGTTCCTTACTTTATCTTATTCCTGTATAGAGATGTCTTAAAATAGGGAATGACGGTAAGTAGCATTAAATAATGAGCAGCTCTTGTAAAAGCTCTACACACTAAAAGCAGTGACTAATATATTCTTAACGATACAGCATCAAATGTTTAAGGAAAACATGTTTTATTAAGAATTAGTATGATCTGGCAAATTATTTTGAAGAGACTCAAGAACTCCAGAGTTCTGTTCCCTGTGACAGTTTCTGCTAAAAAATCTGAAAATAGCGGATAGTAGCAGCACTTTGAAGATCATGCTTCTAATACACTGTATAATTTAAAGATAAATTAAACCATAATTACATCATAGGAGTACCACAGGGGAAAAAAACTCACCTTGGACTCTACTTTTCCAGGAGGCAGAAATTCCATTTCAAATATGGGATTATCATGATGACCAACTATCACAAAGTAGAAACTTCCAGACATTCTTCAAAATAGTGCACCCTACAAGAAAAGGCTGATAAGTCTACATACAAACTCTTAATCTGTGAGAAAGTTCTCCTAAAAATCAGCCAACATGGTTCCTACTCATATTTAACATAGGCTAAAGAGCAATAACCACTTTCTTAGATATGCACATATATACACAAATAGGGGGAAAAATATCCTTAGAAAGCAGAACATCTCCTGGAAGCGAAAGTAGTTACTACTACCTAAAAAAGCTCACTCTACAGCTGACTGATGCTGTAATTCATCCCCTGACAGCCCCCCCCAGTGACTTGGACGGCAGCGATCCCCTGATGTATCGCAGCGCACTCGCCTCTGAAGGATCTCCCCATCTGCCTCTCCCCGGCGGCTCTACAAACAGCAGAAAGGGGAAAGGTAGC